TTGTCAAACTGCATGCTCATGAATTTTATTCTGTAGCCTTGCCCAGTGATCTTATGAATAATGCCTGTGTAGCAGCAGCACTGTGATTATCATCTTTGTCCAGTCGCTGCACTATGCTTTTCTTTGCAAATTCTTGCAAGATTGCAAATGAACTGCAATTCTCTTACTGTTCTTCAAGTACACGTTGTTTCTTTTCATAGCTGTATTTGTTACATTGTAGGAAATTCTATGTACTGCATTGATGAAATTTGTCTCTCAGACCTACACAATTCCTGCTGCAGGTTTCTTTCCTATTATTCTTTGATATCTTGTTATTTTATTGTTATGAGGACACTTTTTATTCATCAATCTGGACTGTGTAACTGTGTTTGCCATGCAAACTCCATTTCTTCTTTCAACTTTATTCCAGTATTTTTATTCAAGCATTTTGGTCAGGATTCCAGACAGAAAATAGTTCTATGTCAACATACTTTTTTAAAAAATGGTAAGACTGCTTTCACATCCAGTCATAATTCATCTTTTTTCTTAGGCTTTATGTTCTTATCTCTCACATGCTTCACTTTTACAGAGGTCAGTACTCCTGATATTTCTGCTTTAGAGTTTTATAATTCATCTTCCCTGCTTTGAGCAACTGAAAATTATAAAACACAGCGGATGTTTCAGAATACCTGTTATCTTTTATGAGGGAGTGGGTTATGCAGCTGTGCATTAGGTGGAGGGTGGATGGACTTCAACACCATGTGACAGACGTGCTGTAAGGCAGCAAGTAAGGATGAAGGAAGCCTGAAGCAAATAATATAGGGGGGAGCTGGGTTCTTTCGGTCTTGAGAAATGAAGGGAACTGGCACGCAGAAGGAAGTGGAAGGGGATCAGGATGAGGGGGCAGTTGTCTCTGGAGAGTGATGTGCTCAACCTGCAGTGAAGTTAAATTTCATCACCATGAACTAAATAAGAACCATACTATTAACCTGAGAGAGAGTACTAAGAGCAGTTGCCATCACTGATAGAGAAGCACAGAAAATTTATTCCGTTCATTTTAGAAATCAGAACTGATTAGGTTCCAGGTTTGTTTCATTCTACCTTAAAATCCAGTGCCTAAGACTTAACTGCATTTTTGTTGTTTTCAGAGTTGTTCTCCTCAGTGAATCCATCAGTCTTTCAATACAAATTGCCTTTCACTGTGATTTCATTCATGTCTACATAAGTAGGCTTAAGCAGTTATAATTTCTGTGCTTGGGCTGTGGGCAAACAACTTGGCTGCTGGGTAGACCCTGGCCAAGGCTGTGCAAGCTGAACAGAGTCTGGAAAACTGCTGGACACGATGTGGGGAATCATGGAACATAAAAAGCTGTGAGAATCTGACAAAACTTAGAGACAACACCGCAGAGAATACCTGGACCTCACAGGTGGTTAAGGCAAAATTATACAAGAAACAGCCCAAGTCCTTGGGTAATTGCACTGGTGCATTAGAGACCGTCAGGGCCTTGCAAGGCCATCAGTGTCCAGATAGCCTTATAAAGAACACCATATAAAATAGATTTATGATGATGTCACCTATTCTGCCTTAATATACCATGTGCCAGAAAGTCTCATAACCCATCTCAGTCCTTACCAGTGCTACATGAGGTGTTTATTCATTAGTGTTTTAGTTTGACTGAGAAACACAGTTTAGAGGAAAGTCTCCTGAACATTCCCAATTCCCATTAGTTATAGTGAGCAGAGCTTACAGGGCACTAATAGGTCTCCTCTCCTAGGAAATTAAACCAAAGCTGAGCTCCACGAAGGCTCTCTGGCTTCTAATGGGAACTTACTTTGTGCAACAAAGCTACAAGGAAGCAAAACCCCTGCAATGCTAGAGAAGGGGCAGTATTTTCATCCTAAATAGAATTAGTGTGAATGTCGGGTCCACAGCACTGACCATTTTGCTGCTCAGTTGAGATGTGCTGCTTGCTAATGAACATTTACAAAGGTGTTGTAACCCTGACATGCTCCTGAGAGAGCCCATTCATCCGTACTGCACTTGGAAATCTGTTATTAGCTGCCAGTAGGTATAACCTTCCATATTGAGGAGTGCCTCCCCAACAGTGTGAGTTATGTCTGTTGTTTTGCTTGTTAGATGTCTGACACCTGACATACAATTAAATGTAAGGCTACATTCAGTCTCAAAATACTCAGTTACGTTCACTGGCTTTGGGAAACAAAGCTTGGTATAGTGCTCACATGGTCCGTGAGTTCTTACTCTTCCATGGCTTTCCTTGAGTTAAATTTCTTTGTATCCACACACATACTTGCAATAAAAGAAACATTATTCTGACATTTTACCCTGCTACGGGAAGAGGTACTGTGGGAAAATTCAGTCTTTATCCTCCAGTGTTCCACAAGAAGAAACCTCATTAGATATCCTCAGAAAGGAATGTTGAGAATCTCTTGCCATCAGCCTGCGGTTTTCTATCAGCTACAGAAATGACTGCCAAGTAGTGACAGAAAGCATGTGCTGAACCCAGGAGGCAGGTTATAAAATTATGTGTTTTAAGAATTCCTGGGTTTGTTGAGGATATAAAAGAGAAACATAATTATTATTGCTACGACTCTAGGAGCACATACCTAACTTTCTGTAAGACGGGTCTGTGTTATCAAATCATGTTACTGATGTCTTAGCTGTGCAAAATTCCCATCAAAATAATAACCCAAACGTTATTTTTTACTTTTTTCTACATTTGAATAAAAGATCCAATATATAATTTTTACAAAGTTTATTAGCAATCTTCTCCTGAAAGACATTTTTGGGGGCTCTCTGGTGTTTTGGTTTTTTTCCCAGAATCTTAAAAAAGCAATGAAAGAAAATTCCAGCAATTTCTAGGATGTTGCTTTATAACTTATTAAAACTTAATTCTATTGAAATACTTTGTGTCATATCATTCCAGAAGCAGCAATCAAATGTGTGGGGATTTTTTTCCAGAAAACTGAAAAGTATTGTAACATATCATAATGGACCTTATACTATGCTATGGTTCTTATAGACATTTCAATGATAAGCTAAAATGCCAAAGATACTTTAACTGTAAAAATAAAAATACTCTGCCATCTGTGCTGCTTATCTTAATTTTTAAGTTTCAGTTGAAAACAATTATGTCAGTTTTCAACTTTTAAAAATAAAATCATAGATCACATTTACTGAGTTATGATTTTATCATCATCTGCAAAATGTTGACTTAGCCTAGAGTCAGGTCTAGGCCTCTGGAGCTAAAATGTGCAGGCTGCAGAAATTCATTAAAGGAATTTTACCTTTGTGTGTTCTGTGAAAAATCAAAAAATCGTTGGTGCTGGATCTTCTACTGTGGATAAAAAGAACTGAATGCCTGTTGTTAAAAGCATAGCATCATGCAAATATTTTTGGTGTCAAGTAATGGTGTAAATTAGTCAAGGCTAAAATAAGTGAAGTTAATGCAGAATTAAATAGGTTAAGTCAGTAAGAATTTAATCTGTTGTCACAATTTTTATATCTTAGCTAAATGTTCATAAAGTATTGTTTTAGTATATACTAAAAAGCTATAACTTCACAAATTTCAAGTAAATTAGTTTACTTATTTTTCTGTGATTATGTGTTATATATATACATATTTTCTTCTAAGTTACATTTCTCAAAATATTTTTGAAGACTTGAGATTTCAGCTCATCACATCTTTAGCATTACTTACGGCTATCTTGTGTAGTAATGGCATAAATTTTTCATTATGTTGTCATAGCCAGTGCCATTAACATGATCACTATTTTATATCTTTGCTTTTTATTAAGTGGTTACTACTATGCATGTGTATTGAAATTTGCATTTGCTATCTCAAAGCTTCTTGTAACAAAGCGAATTGATGTTTCAGAACATTACTCTAACATGAAGTGGGATTATTAGGTTTGTTTTCTATGTGAAAAACTGGGACCCTGGGACCCAAATGGTTGAGATAAATCTAGGTGAGGTGATTCACCATCTTAACTGATTCACACTGGGTTGAAACTCAGACATCAGTGAGTACTGAGTGCACCTCTGGGGACCCCAATATAAGAAGCACATGGACCTGTTCGAGCAAGTCCAAAGGAGGACCACAAAGATGATCAGCACTGAAGCTCTCTTCTATGAAGAGAATTTGAGCTATTGAACCTGGAGAAGGGAAAGCTCAGGATAAACTTAGGTCATCATTCCAGTACCTGAAGGAGGCTACAGGAAAACCAGAGAGAGACTTTTTACAAGGTCATATAGTGAAGGAACAAGGAATAGTGGCTTTAAACTGAGAGTAGTTTAGATTAGATATTAGGAAAAGGTTCTTCACTATTAGGATGGTAAGACACTGGAACAGGTTGCTCAAAGAAGTCAGCGATGCCCCATCCCTGGAAGTATTCAAGGCCAGATTGGATGGGACCCTGAGCAACCTGGTCTAGTGGAAGGTGTCTGTGTCCATGGCAGGGAGGCTGAAACCAACTGGTCTTTAAGTTCTCTTCACACCCAAACCATGCTGTGATTCTACGATTCTGTGTCTGAAATAGAAGTACTAGGGTGTTTTTTCCTTTGGCATTACTGAAATGTTCAGGCTGCAGAAATGCATTAAAGAACCTAAGGACATTACTAAACCATAGTGTTTGTTAAAGTGTTCCAAAGTGGTTAAATGACTCTTTACTCTATATTTTTTGTTAAGAGCTAAGATTCAGATAGATGAATGCAGCTTTTCAATTATGGATTTAATATGTCACTACTTGCTTTTGGAGTATTTAGCATTTTTTCACTGTGCTGATTAAAATCTGTTGTAGATGATAATTAGGCTGGTTTTATCATTCAAACACTCAAAATTGATTTTTAAATCTTTAAGTGGCTTGTACTAGACTTTTATTTCTCAAAGGGTTTAAAAGACTGCTTATATTATGTCCTTCTGTCATGTTTTCTGTAAATGCTAAATCACTACAAAATTAGTAGATTTCCAGTTCTAAACCCAAAATCTACCCTTTTTTCACAGGAGGAAGAACTAAGGAAAAGTGGAGAAGCCAAATACGCGCACTTGAGTGATGAGCTCCACGTATTAATTGAAGTTTTTGCTCCACCTGGGGAGGCGTATTCTCGTATGAGTCATGCCTTGGAAGAAATAAAAAAATTCCTGGTTCCTGTAAGTGACTTGTAACATTTTTCTGTGAGTGATTATGGTTTAGTTGCATTGAATTTGTGCCTTCTTTAAGCACCTTTAGATCAAGGAAAAAAAAAAGTTCTGTTGAACTTTTATCTTTCATTGTCTCTCATTTCTCAAGGAGATGCCAAACAGGCCATTAACTATCACAGTTGATGCCCTAATATATTTCCTAGATGTTTTATTATTTCCATTTGTCAATGTTTTTTGTTTCCTTACTTGGTTTCTGAAGGGAATAGTAGATTACTTTTTTTTCTGATGGCAGACAATAGTCATTAGTATGAGAGTACACTTTCAAGGTTTTTGAGTATTTAAGTCTGTAAAAACATTTTAATACATGTAACAATTTATTTAAATATCTTGCTAATGAAGTTAATGAAGTTCTTGTGGAGCGAACAGCATGAGCAAAACATTGCTAAGACATTTCTGTTCAGACAGCTTATGACTCAGACCACAGTTTAGCAATGCTCCATCAGCCAGGAGAGCACAGAAACATACTCCAAAGCTGGGAACCTTTTCAATTTGATTTATGCTAAGTATATAACCTTCTGAAATATTTATCTTCTTGTCTATTGATTTTCCTCAAATTCTCTGAAATATATTTTTCACATTTATACAGTTACTCCATAATATTTTCATACTAGAATTGAAGCATATGTATACTAGATATTAAGTAAAGTACTACTAGAGTTACGTGAGTTGTCATCTGAGGTCTTAGTGTCACCTGAGAGTTCTTAGCATTCTAAAAATATCCAGAACTTATATTCCTTAAAAATAATATGATGACAGCTTGTTTCTCTTTGTGATAAAAAAATGAAGTGCATTAACTGTTCATGTCTCTTGATAATAATTGAAGGATTCAATTGGTGCCTTTCTGTTATGATATTTCTAATATGATATTTCATATCTGAGTGATATGAAATCAAGGTAAGAGATATTCACATGAGGTATATGCATATTTGCCTGGAAGAATTTTAACGCTTTATTTGGTGTGGGCTTCGTGGTGGAGGAAAAAGAGAATACATGACAAGTAAAATATTGAAGTAGAGTATTTCAAATGTTCAAATTTTTTAGAGCAAATAAATTTTTTTTAAGAATAAAAACTAAGTGAATTAAGATTGCTAAAAATAAACATCTGGATATTTGTTTTAAGTAAAAAAGTTTATCGGCACCAAGAGAGTGCTCAGAAACGAGCTACAAGTTTTAAACAAGTTAAATCTATCTTTCTGATTCTCCCTTTTCATCCCCTTATTATGCCTCTAGTTTGGGAACACTGGTAATAAAATACTATTTAAAATTCTTTGAAATACCTGTGAGACAACAAAGTACCTTTTTCTTCATTATTTCTGATTTTTTGTTGAACATCCAATACAAGGGACAAATTAGATCAATGTTGTAATGTGGCAGCATACTGTGGAATGACATTTTGGCTGCACATTAATGGTGAAGATCTTCCAAGTCATTACAGTGACAGAAAATTTATCATTAAGTGATATGTTCCTGAAAACTCTGGAGTGTTATAGCTAAAAATGGTAACAGGGCCAGTTATAAAATTTGCCAGTCTTGTCCTTTAGATAACTCTATTTCCAGTTGTTTGTGGTTTTGCCAAACTGCAACAAGGTTCTTATTTAAAGTTATCTTTTTATGTCCTTGACACGATGATGGCATCCTCTCTTTGTGCCACCTGGATTTTTAACATTATGTGTTCTGTCCAGCCTGAGAAATTCTCTTCTGGGTGAATAAGGGAGAGAGACCAGTGGGTGTTGGGATTAATACTGAAATTTGTTGTAAATATTCAGCATCTGTGCAAGCATGTATTTTGTGTGACACATTATTTATTCATAAGGATTATATGTATTTTCCAGCACAAGTGTAAGAGCTACACTGGAGGAAATACAAAAACAAGTTCTTTGTTATGAGATTTTGAACATGGTTGACAGCGGCAATAATAGACCCTGTCTTAGAAGGCCACCAGATTTGTCAGACGTTATTTGCTCTTAGTGAAGCTGTCAGCATTCACCTCCCTATTTTCTGTGTTCCTTAGCAAAGTTTCCAGGATAATCCGCTCTGTGGTCCTTTCAGGACCCGAGGTGAGACTAAGAGAGCTGTAGTTCCCCATGTCCTCCTTATTTCTCTTTTTAAATGTGAGGGTTATGTTTCCCTCTTTCCAGACATTGAGAACTTCAGTGGACTGCCATGACTTCTCAGATACAATGCATAGTGACTCAGCCACTTCCTCAGCCGGTTCCCTCAGAATGAGCAGATGCATCTCATCAGGTTCCATGGATTTGCATCTTCAGGTTTCTTAGATGTTCTCAAACCTGATCTTTTCCTACAGTCAGTGGTTCTTCATTTTCCCAATCTCTGTCTTTGCCGTGTGTGACCTGGGCTGTGTGGCTGGAACACTTGTTGGTGAAAACCAAGATAAAGAAGTCTTTAATCACCTCAGCCTTCTTCATGTCTGGGATAACCAGGTCTCCAGTTTCCTTCCAGAGAGGGCCCACATTTTCCCTAGTCTTTCCTTTATCACTGATGTACTTTTCCTGTTGCCCTTGACATCCCTGTCCAGTTTTAATTCTGTCAGGGCTTTAGTTTTTCTAACTTGGTCCCTGGCTGCTTGTACAATCTCTCTGTATTCCTCCAAGGCTGCCTGTTCTTGCATCCACACTCTGCTGGCTTCCTTTTTGTGTTGGAGTTTGTCCAGGAGCTCCTTGTTCATCCATGTGAGCCTCCTGTCATTTTTGCCTGACTTCCTCTTCATTATGATGCATCACTCCTGAGCTTGGAGACGACGATGCTTGAACATTAACCAGCTTTCTTGTGCCCCTCTTCCCTCTAGGGAATCATAATCATTCCAAACAAGTAACAATTGTACTTTATGACTTGTTTGTTAGTTTTATCCCCTCTGCTTCATTTCAGATTTACAAAGCAATTATTAACTGGCTGGTTGCAACATGTTACAAGGGGTTTGCACTCAAAAAGATTGCACTAGATAATTTCCTTTTTGTTCCCTATTTACAGCATCTCTTGAATTTGTTTTATGATGTTTTGTTGTTTATAAGACTAATTTAATGCAGCAATGAATATTGGAATTGCATGACAGGGATGAAAATAGTAGGATGTATCAGTTTTATTTATACCAAATCAAGGATGTAATAAACTATTCAAATGAGTTCTCACATTGCTTATGAATTTTGTGACGTTTATGTGAAATATTGCCCTCAGAAATTACACTGTGTCAGTAAAATGGAATAATGTTTTTATACCTTATCCATAAGTTTTAACGAGACTGAATTTTAAAATAAAAGCCTAGAAAACATAGTAAGAGAAAAAGAGAAAATGTAGAATAGGACTAAGGAAAAAAATAGTTGAACATTTATTAACTGAAGCAAAGTCTTAATGAACAACAACTTTTGATTTAAATGTGAGTACTTAATTTTCACCTTCAACCTTACCCAAGAATAGGTTTCAAAATTTTTCCTAGTGAAGATCTTCCCTCCAAGTCAGAGTTAGAAACTAAGTACTGCTCTGGCTGTTCCACAAGGTGACACATTCCAAAGCTGCAGGCAGCTTCGTCTCAGGTGGTGAGTTGGGATCCCTCCAACAGGCATTTCAGGGCACGACTGAACCCCCAGTGTCTGCGGCGCTCGGTGCTTTGCCAGCTGAGGCCTTTCAAAGCCAAGCTGCTTCATTTACTGTCTGCTGCTTCCATCTTGCAAGTGGCTTGAGGTCTGAGTGGGAGCCACCATTAGGACCTTGCTAACTGGTTGATAAGATTTATTTTGTAACAGACTGTGGTAGTTCTTTGGTGTATTTTATGCAAAACTTTGGCTTTGGAGGGTGTCATATCCAATTACTAGCTAGATACTGTGCTCCATTTTGTTTTGATGTTTACTCTCAGTATGAAAATTTGAATATAATTGAAATATGACAGATCAAAAGACCCACAATTAAGTAAATAGGATTAATCTCAGAGTTTTGAAACACAACTGCCTGGTCCATTATTTTTCTGAAAACCTATTAAAAATGAAAACCAAAATGTACTCCCCAAAGTCAAGGTTTTGCATTAAAGATCACATTTGGAACTGATGTTAACATAATATGAATTACCCTCTATTAGCTCTGTGGAAAGTACAAACATCAGTGATGCTTAGGAGGAGGATACGTGTTGTGCAGATTCACCTCTGTAGCCAACACAGAGTCAGTAACATCCATGGGTATCTGACTGCCAAGCAGTTCTGACCCCAAATTGCCAGGGTGTATGTATATCTCCGTCCTCGGAGTGGGATGCAGGGCCAACAAACTAGAAGGGGAGATTGGGGGTGTGGGGGAAGAGGTTTAGAAGCTTTTCAGGCTTTAAAATGTGCTGATTTTAAAATGTTCATACCTATTAAATGCAGTGAATTTTTTTCACTATTAATGTGCAAAAAAATTATACATCACTCTTATTATATATATCCTTTTGATTTACATCAAAACCTTTAAGGGCCATTATACATCAAAACACAGAAATATGTTTTCTGAACAAGCTCCTATTTCCATATAGTAAGGGATTATACCATCTTTAGGAGTTCTGTGCTTTCCAACACATGTAAAATCTTTTTCTGAGTCCCATTTTTATCCCTTTAAACAAAGGATTTTTATTTGACATGGTTAGCATCCCTTGGGAGAATGAGGGAAGCAGATAGTGATAATTCGTTTTATGTGTGAGTGCTCTGTAGTAAGGAGCTATTATGTAGAGGACAGGTTGCAGCTGTGGTGACATGACCGCTTTAAAAAGATTGTTTATAACGATGCAGTCAGATGATCAGAAATTGAACCAATTACCACTTTAAAAGCTGCTGTTCAACATATTTGCATACATTTTGCTAGCCACTTGTATCTGCTTTAAATTGAGGGATATTGGCACCACTCACGGGCTGGGAATAAGCACGTGGTCATGTAGTGCAGTCCAGTTGATGGACAGTCACTGGTGATCATCT